AAGGAATGGACAGCGCGGTTGCACTGGCCAAGCGGTGGGAGCACCTGTAGCAGAGTCTGGGAAGGAGGAACTGACCCTCTGACCCTGCCAGTCCCCCGGGAGAAATCTGTCTAACAGATGAGAATATCGATAATAACAAACATTTACATCGCACCTCTGTGGCACCAGCAATATTATACATAACCCTATCGTTCCCACAGACACTCTCTTTTTTTTTTTTATCCTCACAGGAGAACATTTTCTCATTTATCTTCAGATAGAACAGGAGGGAGAGAGGGAGGAAGAGAGAGAAACATCGATATGAGAGAGACACATCGAATGGTTGCCACACGCGACCCCAACAGGCGCGGGGGACAAACTGCAACCGAGGCACACTCCCTTAGTGGGAACTGAACCCGGGTCTCTCTGGTCCGCGGGCCCACACTCTAACCGCTGAGCCAAGCTGGCCAGGGCCCCACAGCTACTCTTTGAGAGAGGTGCTATTGTTCTATTTCACACAGGTAGAAACTGAGGTATGGATTGTGGAAGCAGCCTGACTGGTGTCACCCAGGTATAAGGGGCCATCGTGCCATTCTGCCTTTTGGGAGTATTCACCAAAGGACACAAGTATAAATACAAAAGGATATCACTGTTGGAGAAAGAGAGAGAACCACCTTCTTATCATTATCCACTTTTTTGTTGTTGTTAATTACGTCATTAATATCTACCAATGCTTTCCTTCAATTTTTAGAGCATTTATTTTATTGGTTTTCTTCTAGCTGCCTGAGTTGTTTGCTTTGCTCATTTCCCTTTTGAAATTTTTATTCCCCTAATTAGCATTTTTAAGCTATAAATTTTCCTCAGAGTATAGCTTTGGCCCCACCCCTCAAGTTTTGATGTGTAGTGTATTCATTTTTTTTCTTTTAGAAAAAAAAAATTTTTTTCTGCCCTTGCTGGTTTGGCACAGCGGTTGGAGCATCAGCCCACAGACCAGAGAGTCCTGGGTTCAGTTCCCGCTAAGGGCACGTACCTTGGTGGCAGTTTGTCCCTGGTCCCAGTTGGGGTCATGTGGGTGGCAACCAGTCGATGTGTCTCTCTCATGTTCATTTTCTTCCCCCCCCCCCCTCCTTCCCGCTCTATCTGAAGATAAATGCAAAAGTGTCCTCTGGTAAGAATCAAAAAAATAAAAATACCAAAAAAAATTTTTTTCTTTGATTTTAGAGAGAGAGGAAAGAAGAGGGAGAGAGACAGAAACATTGATGAGAGAGAACATCGATTGGCTACCTTCTGCGTGCTCCTCAATGGGGATTTGGCCTGCAACCTGGGCATGTGCCCTGACCAGGAATTGAACCAGCGACCTCTTGGTGCATGGGTCAACACTCAGCCACACTGGCCAGGCTAGTGTGCTCATTTCTAAATAAAGTAGAACTCCAGTTTTATTCTTTGTGCAACCAGAAGTTACTTATGAGGGTGATTTAAAATGTTCATAACAATCTGAGTGGTTTTTGTTATCCTTTGTTATTACTAATTTTGAACATGACCTGTATTACTTCTGCTTCAGGGAATTAATCTGTGGTGTGTTTTTGACCTAATGCATAGTACATTTGTATGTGTGTGTGTGTGTGGAGGGGGGAATATCATTACAAGGTCCTGGTTTTTTTAAATGCTATAGAGTTCATTATTAGAGCAATCAGGAAATTTGAACACAGGCTGTTTATTAGACAATATCAATGTTCAATTTCTTGAGGGTGGTAATAATATTATGCTTGTGTAGGAAAAATGACTTTGTTCTTAGGAGACACAGAGTAAAAAATTTAATCATGATGATATGTCTGTACCTACTTTCAAAAGGTTCAGAATTTTCTAGCAATGTCTCTAATCACTGGCCCCTTGAGGGACAGCAGGTGTGGGGTTCCCTCCTCAGCCCCCCAACCTTCAAGTATCTCTATGACAGGTATACAATGGTGTATACATACATATGTGTTTGGAGAAATAGGTAGGTAGGTAGGTAGACAGACAGACAGACAGATAGATGAGAGAAATACACAGATTTCTCAGTAAAGAGAGGAACTAATAAAGACAGAGACAGAACAATAGAGAGGTAGGCAGATAATGAGAAAGAAGGATTGAGAAGGAGAGAGAGCGATGTGAGGGAGAGAGAGAGAAGAAAGGCTAAATATACGGGATGTGGGGATGGGCACATATCAACATTTGGTAAATTTAGTTGAAAGGTATATTGTATTATTCTCTTAACACAGGTTTGAAATGTTTCAGATGAAAATTTTGAGAGAAAAAAGGCAAGGCAAAAATGGTTCATAATGCCCTGGCCGGTTTGGTTCGGCAGTTAGAGCGTCGGCCCGCAGATCAGAGAGACCCAGGTTCTGTTCCCGCTAGGGGCACATAGCTTGGTTGCAGTTTGTCCCCCGCCCTAGTTGGGGTCGTGTGGGTGGCAACCGGTTGATGTGTCTCTCTCACGTCGATGTTTCTCTTTGTCTCTTCCCCCCCCCTCTCTCCCACTCTATCTGAAGATACATGCAAAAATGTCCTTGGGTGAGGATTTAAAAAAAAAAGGTTCATGCCCTGGCCGGTTTGGCTCAGCGGTTAGAGCATCGGCCTGCGGTCCGGAGAGACCCGGGTTCGGTTCCCGCTAAGGGCACGTACTTTGGTATCTGTGTATTTCTCTCATCTATCTGTCTGTCTACCTACCTACCTACCTATCTATTTCTCCAAACACATATGTATACACCATTGTATACCTGTCATAGAGATACTTGAAGTTTGGGGGGCTGAGGAGGGAACCCGACACCTGCTGTCTCTCAAGGGGCCAGTGATTAGAGACACTGCTAGAAAATTCTGAACCTTTTGAAAGTAGGTACTTTGGTTGCAGTTTGTCCCCGGCCCTGGTTGGTCGTGCGGTGGTAGCCACTCGATGTGTCCCTTTCACATCGATGTTTCTCTCTCTCTATCTCTTCCTCTCTCTCCCTCCCACTCTATCTGTACAAAAAATGGAAAAATGTCCTCGGGTGAGGATAAAAAAAAAAGGTTCATGATAAAATTTGGGTTACAAGTTCTCTTTGGAAGGAGAGAAAGGGGAGGGTTGGGGTGGCTGGCTGCATTCTAGTCTGTGACCTGGCTGAGTTGCATGGGTGGTCACTGTGATAAATCAGTGAATTCCTCCATTTGTGTGTCTGTATTTTTCGGGGTGTGGGTTATATTGAATGATTTTTAAGTTGCCAAAATAGCATGCAGCAGATTCACAAGCCACCTAAATACTCATCAGTAGGGGATGGATGAAATGCTTCTGAGCATAGTACATCCAGACAAGAAAACACTTGGCCACTTACACTGAAAATAAGGCGGCAGACCCCTTATGTATGTATACGCAACCGTCTCCAACATATACTCTTCATAAAACACAGTCAGACGAAGTAGAAACATGTACATAACCTATTCTCTTTGAATAAAAAATGCTTATCTGAAAGGTTACACACGGCCCTGGCGGCTGTGGCTCGGTTGGTTGGGCATCGTCCCATGCACCGCAAGGTTGCGGGTTTGATTCCTGGTCAGGGCACATGCCTGGGTTGCAGGCTCAATTCCCAGTAAGAAGCATGCTGGGAGCAGCCAATGGATGTGTCCCTCTCACATCGATGCTTCTTTCTCTTTCTCCCTCTCTCGAAAACTCAATTTTAAATATTAAAAAAGAAAAGAAAAAGAGAAGATACATAAGAAACTAACAGTCTCCAGTGAGCAGTTGGAATGGACAATCCGGAAAAACAGAAAGAGTCTTTTTCTTCTCACCATGGGCCTACATGATTTTATTTTATTACTTTTTTTTTTTTTAATCCTCATCCGAGGACATTTTTCCATTTTTTGTTCAGATAGTGGGAGGGACAGAGAGAGAGAGAGAGAGAGATACGTTTTATTACTTTTTTTTATCCTCACCCGAGGACACTTTTCCACTTTAGTTCAGATAGAGTGGGAGGGAGAGAGGAAGAGAGAGAGAGAGAGAGAGAGAGAAACATCGATGTGAGAGAGACACATCGACTGCCTCCCACGCGACCCAACCAGGGCTGGGGACAAATTGCAACTGAGGTACGTGCCCTTGGCCAGAATCGAACCCGGGTCTCATTGGTCTGAGGGCGGATGCTCTCACCACTGAGCCAAACCGGCTAGGGCTGAGCCTACATTATTTTAAAGTTTTGTGTTTAAATAAACCACTTTCCCCAGCTTACTTTTTTTTTTTCTTTCCCCTCACCCCTGAACATTTTTTGCATTTCTCTTCAGATAGAGCAGAAGGGAGAGAGGTGGGAAGAGAGAGAGAGAAACATCGATGTGAGAGAGACACATTGAGTGGTTGCCACCCACATGACCCCAACCAGGGCCGGGGACAAACTGCAATGGAGGTACGTGCCCTTAGCGGGAACCGAACCCAGGAGTTTCTGGTCCACAGGCCAATGCTCTAACCACTGAGCCAAACCGGCCAGGGCTCCCCAGCTTACTTTTGAAGGCGCCTCGATCCTTCCTGATCCTCAGACATAGGATCACTTCACCCTCTCCTCATCAGTGAGCACGGAAGCATGTGGAGCTGTCCTGAGGCCCACAGCTGTTTCTCCTGATTATGAATAAGACGGTAGCTTTTGGTTTGAATACATTTTTTTCTTTATTGACTTTTAGAGAGAGAGGAAGGGAGAGGGAGAAAGATAGAAATGCTGATGAGAGAGAACATCAATTGGCCGCCTCCTGCATGCCCCCCACTGGGGATCGGGCCCACAACCTGGGTGTGTGCCCTGACCAGGAATTGAACCAGTGACCTCTTGGTACATGGGTCGAGGCTCAACCACTGAGCCACACCGGCTGAGCTGAATACCTACTTTTTTTTTTTTTTTATGCCTCTACCTAGAACCAAGGAAATGGTTCATTGTGAACAGGGACCACTGGGATTTCTGTCCCAAAAAGGAGTGCTCATGGCACACACCTGTAGGGTTACCGTGGGTTTCAAGTCATAGAAAACCAGGCTCCAAGTGGCTTTAACAATAAGGACATTTATTATATCACTTCGCACATGTGTCAGCGGTTGGAGGCACGATGGTTTAATAGACCCAGAAGAGCAGTAGCTTCAATGAGCTGGAAATTGAACTCTCTCTGCTGACTGTGTGGGTTTGCACATTGCAGAGCAGGGATGGGAACATGGTCACTTTCCACGTGGTTCGCCACCACGATGCTCTGGCCGTTTGCAAAAATGGCCCCCGTTCTGCATGCCTTCCTGTATCTATGCTCCTTTGCAAGGTCACTATGAAGGTTTCCCCCCAGGGAGGTAGAATGCATTCCCTCACCCCTTGGGCATAGCAACATCGTGTAAAGTGCCAAGTGTACATCTCATGATGTCCGTCTTGCTCATGGAACCCTCCTTTGTCGGCCTGCAGGACGCTGAGAGCTGTGTGACTCCGTCAATCCCATGGTCCCAGTCACCCCTCTCAGAAGTGGAGTCACGTAGTTGGCCCCACGAGGAAGCCCAGTGAAGACCAGAAACTGCTCAGCCCAGCCCAGTCCAAACTGCTGACCACAGAAATCATAACAGGTTATGGTTTGAAGCCTCTAAATTTGGGGGGGTATTTGTTATGCAGCAAAAGCTAACTAATACGTTTGCATTCTAGACCTTGGGAAGTGGAGAACATAGAGCAGACCCCTCCCATTCAAGAGCACTTCAAGGAAGTTAGACCCATTACTTCCACTCGCATCCCATTGGCCAGAAAGCAGTAAGATGGCCATACCTGGTTGCAAAGGATGCTGGGAAATTTAGTCTTTGTTCTTTTTTTCTGGCTAGCTGTGGGCAGTTTAAAACAAATAGAAGTCTTCCTAGAAAGGGAGGATAGAATGAATATGGGGAAATAACCAGATGTCTCTAAGGCAGCAGTTTAGATGAAGCAATGCCAAGAAGACTTCCTGAAAGAAGAGACAGGATGTGTCAGGGTCTTGGAAGCCAGCCTATGGAAGAGACTGCAAACTACACAGGAGGATTAGGACGTTCAGCTTCCCCTTTAAGGTTTTCATCATTCCCTGGGTGCTTCACCTCGGGATCAGGGTGGTTGAGAAACCCCTCCTCACCAAATGCCCTGGCCAGGGCAGAAGGCAGAGACTGAAAAAACGTTTTTTTAAAATCTCTGCCAATAAAAACGTAGAGAAAGGGGTTGAGGCAGCTGTTGAGACAGCCCAAGGAGAAGGTAGCCCAGAGGATGGGCAGCATCGTGGCGTCATGAGACTTTGCTAGCCCCAGATGGATCAAGCGTGCCACGTTGAATGGGAACCAGAAGATGAAGAAGGCGCTTACCAACACCAGCAGCAACCTCCTGGGCCGGCTGGCGTGGACCCAGGCCTCCTGCTGGAGCTTGGCACGGATGAGGTAGGCACAGGTGCTGATGATCACCAGGGGCACCAAGAAGCCCACCAGGAAGTGAGTGATGGTCACTACCTGTTGCCTGTCAAAAACCACTGAATCCCCGTTGCTGGAGTTCTTCTCATTCTCTGTGTTGAATTTGAAGAAGCAGTACCTACATCCTTCCTGTTTTCCACCAGTCCGGAGTATCGAGTATGGAGAGCAAGTGATGGCAGCCAGGAGCCATACACCGAGCGCCAGCCAGCTTGCTCGCTGCACAGTGCGGTGATTTCGGACCCACACTGGGTAGAGGACAGAGACGCAACGGTCCACAGAGATGAGGGCCAGGAGGTAGATGCTGGCAAAGAAGGTGAGGACCATCAAGGCCAGGTAGAACTTGCAGGCCAAGTCAGTGAGGGGCCAATGGTGGGTGATCAGGTTGTAGATGGCGACAGGCAGGAACAGTAGTACAATAAAGTCAGCAAGGGCCAGGTTGAAGAACCAGACGGTGGTGACGGTGCGGGTCATGCGGAAAGCGGTCATCCAGAGCACCAGCCCGTTGACCACTACGCCAACCACAAAGGACACGGACAGGATGGCCATGGTGAGCTGGTGGAGGTACCCCACCTCTTTCTCGCGGCATTTGGAAGCAGAGCTAAGGTCCATCTTTCTAGAACAGGAATGACTACATGTCAGAGGTACAGACTACCTTCCCCTACCTATCAGAGTCCATGGTCCCCTCGAAGGCCCTTCCATTTTTTTTCTCCAGTCAATACATTTTATTAGCATTAAATATATCTTTATTGAGCCTGGCCAGTGTGGCTCAGTGGTTGAGCATCAACCCATGTACAAAGAAGTCACCAGTTCGATTCCCGGTCAGGGCACATGCCCAGGTTTTGGGCCTGATCCCCAGTGGGGGGCATGCAAGAGGCGGCCAATCCATGTTTTCTCTCATCTCTCTCTCTCCTCTCCTCTCTCTCTAAACATCAATAAAGAAAAAAAATTTTTGCCCTGGCCGGTTTGGCTCAGCGGTTAGAGAGTCAGCCTGCGGTCCAGAGAGACCCGGGTTCGGTGCCTGCTAAGGGCACGTACCTTGGTTGCAGTTTGTCCCCGGCCCTGGTTGGTCATGCGGGTGGCAGCCACTCGATGTGTCCCTTCACGTCGATGTTTCTCTCTCTCTCTTCCTCTCTCTCCCTCCCACTCTATCTGAACAAAAAATGGAAAAATGTCCTCAGGTGAGGATAAAAAAAAAAAAGAAAAAAAATTTTTTAATAAATAAAAATATCTTTATTGATGTTTAGAGAGAGAGAAAGGGAGAGGGAGAGCGATAAACACTGATGTGAGAGCAGAACGTCGATGGGCTGCACCCCGACCAGGGATTGAACCAGCGACACTTCAGTGCATGAGACAATGCTCAACCAACTGAGCCCTACCGGCCAGGGCCGGCTTTTTTTTTTTTTTTTTTTTTTTTAACTCATTCTTGAGATCTCAGTAAAACTCTCCCTTGCTCCCCGAAAGACTTTTCTGCCCACCTTGACTGGAGCAGGCCCCCTGTAGAAGCTTCTCACTCACTGGGAGACTGAGACAGGTAGGAGTTAGACCTGAGTGCATTGCATCACCCGATTCACTTCCATCTGCCCCACTGGACTGAGCTCCCCAGGGGCCAGGCCGGTGTGTGGCCCGCTCACCAGCCCCCAGCACATTGTAGGCACTCACTACACAATCGACAAATGATTGGTTAGGAGGACAAGCTCTCCTTTGTCCCCCAGAAGACGATTCAATTCTTTTAGTCTGACAGTGTGCACTGAGCCCGTACCGCCTGCCCGACGCGCTCCCTAGCACTGCGGATACAGCACTGATGAAGTCCAAACGGCCCTGGTCCGTGTGGCTCAGGGGCTGGATTGTTGTTCCATGCACCCAAAGGTCATGGGTTTGATTCCTGGTCAGGGCACATGCCCAGGTTTGGGTTCAATCCCCGGACGGAGTACACATGGGAGGCGACTAATCAATGTTTCTATCTCTCTCTCTCTCTCTCTCTCTCTCTCTCTCTCTCTCTCTCCCCCGCCCCTTCCTCTCTAAAATCAATGAAAACATACTTAGGTAAGGATTTAAAAAAAAAAAAACACTCAAACATCTCTTCTCTGGTGGAACCGACAAATGGCATGAGAAAGTCTGTTACCAGAGTTGCTGCAGAATTTTTGATCTCTTTGCTATCTCCTTCTTGTATACCCTGGCCCTGCTTCAACTGTCCTTACCCCCAAACCCTCACCCTCTGAGCCCTTTGAGGCCCCTCCCACCAAATTCCCGTCCAGTGTCACCGTGTCCTGTGTCCTAGGGCGAGGGTCAAGCCGAGGAAGCTCTGTCTGTCTTCGTTGTCTGTCTGTCCAGGGCAGCTGCCAATCTTGAGGCCGGGTTGGGGGTCGAGGATGGAGGACAGGAAGCAGATAAGAGTCCAGGAAAGACTTGAGCAAGACTCATGGTGGCCACAGAGACCAATATCAGAGCCTGTGACGTGTCATTAGATGTGGGTCCCAATAGGCCCTGGTAGCTGGGAGTTTGGGAGCTGTGAGTGAGGGGCTCCAAAGAGATCCTGTCACTGTGCCATTCTAATTCTCTTCCTTCATCCTTTCCTGTGTCCCAGCCCTGGGCCCATCTCAGGAAGGGAACTCAGCTTCCTTAAGTACCTACTCTATGTTTTCTATGTGTTACTGCACAGCAGGAGGGTTAGGGTCCAGTGACCTAAGTTCAAATCCTGGCTTCAGCCGGCTGGTGTGGCTCAGTGGTTGAGCGTCCGCCCATGCACCAGGAGGGCACCGATTCGATTCCCTGTCAGGGCACGTGCCCAGGTTGTGGGCCTGATCCCCAGTGGGGGGCATGCAGGAGGCGGCCAATCGATGTTCTCTCTCATCAATGTTTCTCTCTCTCCCTCTCCCTTCCTATCTCTCTAAAATCAATAAACAAAAAAAATTTATTTAAAAAGTCTTTTTTTAAGAAATCCTGGCTTCACCTCTTTTGAGCTGTGCGATCCTGGGCAGATTACTTGACCGCTCTGTTCCTGAGTCTCTGCATCGGTAAAATGCAGATAATCATAGTCCTTGTTTTACTGTACTAGGCTTGGTGAATGTCAGCTGTGCATAATCCAGGACGTGGGTTTATTTCTGTGGACGTGGGTGTGGACCTTCAGGTTGTGGACACAGTTCTGGCGTCAGGAACTGAGACAGACCCGTGAGACTGTTGAATGGATAACGTGAGTTCGTATCTGTGCTATGCTCTGAGCTGTGTCCGAATGGAATTCGTGTTGTCTGTGAGTGTCTGTTAAGTCAAGAAGCAAAGCATCCTCAAGTAAGAGTCTGCAGACTAGAGTGACGTTTTCTCCAGCACTCGGGTAAGCGGGGACCATGCCATGAGTTTTTTGTTTTTGTTTTTATTTATTGATTTGAGGACGGGGGTAGAAAGAGAGAGAGAGAGAGAAACATTGATTTGTTGTTCTACTCATTCATCTTCAGATAGAGAGGGGGGGGGGGAGAGAGAAACATTGATGTGAGAGAGATACATCAACTGGCCGCCACCCACATGACCCCAACCAGGGCCGGGGACAAACTGCAACTGAGGTACGTGCCCTTATGAGGAACTGAACTCAGGTCTCTCTGGACCGTGGGCCGACGCTCTAACCGCTGGGCCAAACCGGCCAGGGCTATGTTTTTTATTTTTAAAATTTTCTTCTATTTATTTGTTTTGAGTGACAGAAAGAGAGAGGGAGAGAGATTAGTTTGTTGTTCCATTTATTTGTGCATTCAGTGGTTGCTTCTTGTATGTGCCCTGACCAGGAATCAAACCTGAAACTTTTTGGTGTATGCCACAATACTCCAAACAACTGAGCCACCCCGCCAGGCCCAGGTACCATCCTTTAAATTTTTTTTTTTTACATTTCATGAGCTAGATTCTCAGATTACAATTACTGCGTTCACAGGATGTGTGTTTGTAAGTGATGTTACCAGCTTGCTTTCCAAAGAGACCTGAGTATTCACATTCCACATGGGCTGGATGTTGGGGAGAACAGGAAACTAAGTCCTGAGAGACAAACAGGAAACAAACAGACTCATAAATAAATGTATTTATTTATAAACGGGGCTAAGTCTTCCGAAGGAAGCGAACTTCGTCTGATCAGAGTTGCAACAGAGGAAATGGTGGCAGGGCCAGAGGTTTCCTGAGTAAGTGACCATCAAGGCGAGATCTCAAGGATGATAGGAGTTCACTAGGCAAAGAGGAAGGGAAACATGTTCCAGAGAGTAGTAATGGCATGTGCAAAGGCCCTGAGGTTTAGATGTGCTTTTCTGTAGCTGCCTTTTCCTCTTCTTATCTTGTGGAGATTTCTTTTACAGGCAGTTTAGAATGACTAGAATTTCCTAAAACGAGTGCTAGAATCACCGTAGCTGAAGCTAAGAGAAAAACTACAGATATGTAAGGCTCAGATCCTGAATACGGGAAGAAACTTTTCGGTCAGGGATTAGGGTTAGGGTTATTGATTTACTGGAATGATTGTGATTTCCTGTGTGATGAGATAGCTCCCTAAAATGGCCAGTTATTCACTGTATTCCTTTTTTTTAATCCTCACCTGAGGATATGTTTAGAGAGAGGGAACAAGAGGGGGGGGAGGGGAGGGGGGAAGATATCGATTTGTTCCTTCGTATTTTTCCCCCACTTGCCTCCTGCAATCCAAGAGTTTCGTTCCCTTTTCTGTCACTTTACGTGATGAGATTGTTAACCAATTTCTGTCACATGAGGTACAATTTTTTTCCAAGTCTATTTCTTCACTTTTAATTTTAGCATGAGTTGTTTTTTATACACAAAGCTTTTAAATTTAAGGTTGTCAAATCTGTATCCTTAATGAGAGAAGAAAAGGAAAAGAAATACTTTAATTACTTTTACTTATTTATTTAATAATTTTTCTTTACAAATTTTAGAGAGAGAGAGAGGGAGAGAGATAGAAACGTTAATGAGAGAGGACATCAATTGGCCGCCTCCTATATGTCCCCAATTGGGGATTGGGCCCACAACCTGGGCATGTGCCCTGACTCGGAATCAAACTGGTGACCTCCTGGTACATGGGTCGACACTCAACCACTGAGCCATACCAGCTGGGTGTGTATTTTTAAAATTAAGACATTATCTGTGCAGTTCTAGGGTTTTGACAAATGCATATATTGTGTAACCACCACCCCAAAATTCCCTTGCACTCATTTTAAGTATTTATTTATTTATTTATTTATTTATTTATATTATTACTATTATTTTAATCTTCACCCAAGAATATTTTTCTATTTATCTTCAGATAGAGTGGGAGGAATGGAGAGAGAGAGAGAGAGAGAGAGAGAGAGAGAGAGAGAAACATTGATGTGAAAGAGACACATCAACTGGTTTCCTCCCTCACAACCCTGACCACAGCTGGGGATGAACTGCAACTGAAGTACATGCCCCTGCCTGAAATCAAACCCCATGACCTTTTGGTCCGATGCTCTAATTGCTGAGCCAACCAGCCAGGGCAACTTTAAGTATTTTAAAGCACAGGAAAGCTAAAAGAAGTAATAAGAAAAAAATGCATCCCCCCCCCCCAACTATTCTGTTTTTAAATATTGAACTCAAATGTAGAAAGTCTCTAGCAGAGACTATTACTGTTATTGACACCATTAAGCAGACCAACATATGCACCATGGAAGTAGCAGGAGAGGAGAGAGAGAAAGGAACAAGAAAAAAAAAATGAATAAGTAATGGCTGAAAACTTCCCAAATTTATTACACTAACCTACACATCCAGGAAGCTCAAATAGGACAGACTCAAATAGGGTAAACATAAAGAGACCCATAATCAGACACAGCCTAATAAAATGTTGAAAGTCAAGTACAAAGAGATAATCTTGAAAGCAGAAAGAGAAAAATTATTTTTCACTTGCAAAGAAACCCCAATAAGATATATAGCTGACTTCTCAGCCAAAAGTATGAAGGCTGGAAGGCAGTGGCATAACATATTAAAAGTGCTCGAAGAATAAAAGTGCCAACCAAGGATCCTATACCCAGCAAAGCTGTCTTTCAAAAATGAAGGTAAAATAAGGACATTCCAAGATAAGCAAAAATTGAGAGAATTTGTTGCTAGCAGACCTGTCTCACAAGACATTCTAAAGAAGTTCTTCCAGCTGGAAGCAATGTTATTCCAAATGCTAATACAAATCCACAGGAAAAGAATTAGCAAAGGTTATTATGTCATAATGAAGTAGACTACTTAATTTAAGTAACTCCATTCTGACCAGCAACTGATAACATGTACACACCTTGACTCATCTAAACACCGTGGCCTTAAGGAACCGGAACCATAAAAATAAAAGGATTAGTAATAGCCTTGGGAAACCCAGAAAAAAACATAAAAATACTGTGATTAATGATTTCCTGACCTTTGTAACAGCGCCTTATGCCCCCTATCTGTATCAATTGTCCCCTTAATGACGCCAAGGAAGCATGAAGAGGATGTGGTTTTGGTCTTTATAAACGGAACTGTAAGAATGCTCGGGGCTGTTGATTTGGGGAGACTATGCCCCCTGCAGCCCTCCAGTGAATAAAGCGCTCCTCTCATTTACAATTCAGCTGTGCATCTCTGGTTGTCTTGCTGACACATCATAACAATAAAAGACAGCATACAGCCCAGCCAGTGTGGCTGTGGTTGAGCATCAACCCGTGCACCAAGAGGTCACTGGTTCGATTCCTGGTCAGGGCACATGCCCAGGTTGTAGGCCAAATCCCAAGTGGGGGGCATGCAGGAGGTGGCCAATCAATGTTCTCTCTCATCAATGTTTCTATCTCTCTCTCCCTCTCCCTTCCTCTCTCTCTAAATCAATAAAAGAAAAAAATTAGCCCTGGCCAGTTTGGCTCGGTATTTAGAGCATCGGCCCGTGGACCAGGAAATTACAGGTTCGATTCCGGCCAAGGGCACGTACCTTGGTTGTGATTCATCCCCAGCCCTGGTTGGGGTGGTGTGGAAGGCAGCCACTTGATGTGTCCCTTTCATGTCAATGTTTCTCTCTCTCTCTCTCTTCCTCTCTCTCTAAAATCAATAAAGAAAAACATTTTTTTAATGTATGTTATAAGCCCCAAAGAAGCAACTAAAAAACTAGAATATGTAGCCCTGGCCAGTGTTGCTCAATGGTTAGAGTGTCAGCCTGATCACCAAAGGGTTGTGGATTTAATTCCTGGGCACGTACCTGGGTTGCAGGTTTGATCCCAGGCCCTGGTCGGAGCACAGGCCTGAGGCAACCAATCAATGTGTCTCTCCCATATCAATGTTTCTCTCCCTCCCTCCCTTCCAGTCTCTCTAAAAATCAATGGAAAAAATATCCTCCAGTGTGGATTAACAACAACAAAAACCGTATGTATATATTGAGAAACAAAAACCATCTAGGAGTGGAAAAAATCTGCCTGCCATCAATCTCTGGACACAGATAAAGCCAGCCGCAAAGCCAACAGGAAACATCTCTCCCAGGAATAGGCTGTAAACTGTCCTAACGACCCCCTTTTGTCAGCAACCACTGCTATTTTGCTCACTGAGAAACTTTGTTCTCTAAAATCATAGGTTTTTGGAAATTTTGCTGTTTGAAAATGAAGCCATAAGAATGAACACATCCTACTCTTGCCTGGAAGGTCTGAGGCACTTTGACAAAGACAAAAAAAGCCTCAATTTCCAGCCCTGATCAAGAGCTGGGAACAACACACCACCTTTGTCTTAAGTTGTAGTTTCCAAAGAAACAGGACCCTGAGTCCACTTTGCATTCCAGGCCTGATGTTGACTCATTTATATACATTACTGCTTTGCTCCAAAGCTACCAAGACACAGTTTCATTTAATTTCACTTAAATTCCTTTCTTTTCCCAAATCCTACAACTCAGTCACTGTCCTCTACTGGAATGTGGTCTCCTTCACTGCAATCGGTCGGTGAACCTGACTTTGGTTTGTCCGTGGTAACTGGGTTAGGATGGATGGATGGATGGTGATGGACGTATAGATAAAGACAGAGATAAAGCAATGGAAGTAAACTGTTAACAACAGATAAAACTGGGTAAAGGGTATATAAAATACAAAATACTATTTGTACATGTGCAAGTAGTCCATAAGTTTAAAATTATTTCCAAATAAAAGGCTTTGTTTTGTTTCGTTTTTAATTAGAAGCTAAATTAGTTTGCACTAGTGTTTAGCAAATTTTCTTCAGGCAAAATAAAAAATTTGGTTGTATTTCACACTGTCATTTAGTACGTAGGCATTCAAATTTTGATAATTATTTCTAACCATTTTCTATGAACTTGTTTCACTATTTGTTTTAAATGGTTATGCTCTACCCATGGAAATTCACCCGTATTTTGAAAAACCCTCGACGGAGAGATCTGAGCGCCGGTTATAGTCTAAGGCTCAACGAACGTTCGACTCTTCGATTTTGGGTTTTTCTACCCATTAACCCGTGACCGCACTACATTTCCCATAGTACCTCGGGGCGACTCCAATGGTCAGAGACTGCTGAGTCCTGTTAATGCGAAAGGCCTGGCCCTAAGCTTGCTGGGATCTACACGTGGAGGAGGGGCGGGGCTTGCGGAAGGACCAGCGTGAGCCACCCGACACTGCCAGGACACGTGGTTCTGAGACGGCGGGGAAGGGGTGGGGTTGGAGCTGTCGCTCAGCCGCCTGGGATTTGTAGTCCTGACAAGCCCGTGCGGCTACAGACTACAGGTCTTCCCCTGGCTGGATCAGCTCAGGCCTTGCGTCCTTCCTCTACCATTTCCCTGGGATCCATTAACGTATCGACCCCAATCAGTTGCTGAGGCTTTTTCTGCTCCGCAGCTCTGAGCTCTCAAAGCAGGTGCTACGCGGAGAGTGCGGGGGGGGGGGGGGGGGGGGCGGGGGGGGGCACTGGTGAATGCTGACCCTTGGTAGGCCTGGGAGGGGTAAGCGTTCCTATATGCAGATCTGAATCACGAATCAACCCAGAATGCTGCGTACAGGCGACCTGATCTGATGCATAAACAATCCTTGCAAATGCCCTCCACTCACCACCTGGGACCTCTCTGTGTGCCCCAACTCTTTGTTCCTGGACTGGTATGACAGACACTGACCAGGCAGTGGTATCTAGAGTGGGAGGGTATGATGCGGAAAGCTTTGGACCCTGTGGGAGCCCAGGGGAGGCCAGGGAGGACGAGAAGCAGTTAGAGATCCTACTCATCTCAGGGTCCCCAACCTGGCCCCAGACAGCCATCCTCCATTCAGCAGGCTCCCATGTGCCAGGGTATGCTTGGCACACAGAGTTGGTCATACTCAGCCCTGCCCCCTAAGCTATCCGGTCGTGCAGGGTCAGGAGAGAAATCTTACTCAAATTTTCCCAGTAGGAAGTGGCCTAGGCTGGACTAGAACTTGGGCCATCTGGCTCCAGTCCAGGCAGGTATATCCATTGAAATGCCCAATCCACTTACTTTCCAGAATGTCAGTCAGGTCTGTGAGGGTGGATCTCTCCTGGGCAATGGCAGATACTCTCAATGCCTGCTTAATCTATCTTCTGGTAGCCTATGATTCTGCTGGAAAACAAACTCAGGGGCAAGAATTTTGAGCAAGGTCTTCAATCCCATCATTGAAGTCTTCCTGACCAGAGGCCACCCCCTTACCCTCCAGCCTCTCATTCTTCACCACCTATGGGAGCTGTGGGGTTGATAAATGGCACCTGGGGGGGGGGGTACTCCCCCCTTTTGGAGATGACAGGGGTGACTGTAACTGGTTGATCCAATGGTGACAATTTAGGCTGGTGGTGCCACAGCTGAGGGAAGAGATGTAACGACAGTGTCATACTCAGGTTCCTAGTTCCTGTGATGTCAGGGTCAAGACCATGATGCCAGTATTAGGGGGAACTGGGGTGACTTCTGGGTGTCCTCTCTGCCCCGGGGAATCAAGATATGAAAAATGGTGGGGAAATAAAGGTATAATGTGGGTCATGTTCCACCATTTTTCAAATGCTCATGTTCCTGGGCTCCTCTGAACATCCCAAGAGCCAGACAAGGTAGGGGTGATTGTGCCTATGTTCAGATGAGGAAACTGAGGCTCAGAGCAGGGAAGAGATTGGCTCATGGCCTCACAGGCAAAGTAGAGAAGGGAACATTGGGAGGGAGCCTACACTTCCAGGCTGGGGAAGTCTTCAAGTTTGTGTCTCAGCACAGGACCCTGGGGGTAGGGGAAAGGGAAGGGAGTGTGTGTGGGGGGGGAGGGGGGGTGCCTGACATTATGTTTCAGTACCATCTGCTGAAACCAGTTTGAGACATGCTAAACAAAATTAAAAAGGGTCTTTCTTGCAAGACTTGTCAGAGCCTTTAGCTACTTTGTGATTCCCAGATTTCTCTGATCAGGACCAAGACCTGGGACAATGATTGACAGGCCCTGGGTCCCGAAGGCCCTGGGCGGGGGCTCAATGGGGCTGAAGGCGTTAGTAGTGCGTGCACTTATGTAATCCCGACATCTGTGTGGAGCGGATGACCGTGTGTGCATATGCATCAGTGTTCTCCATATGATGATTCTGAGGCTCAAATAACATCCGTAAAAAGAGGAACAGGACAGGCATCCCAAGGCCAGGTTCTTGCCTTTCCCGGCCTGCCACGCGGCGAGATAAAGGCCCAAAGTGCTTCCACTGCCCGCTCAAGTCAGATTCCAGAAGGTTTTACTGTCGCTGGACCTGGTCTGGTGCTCGCCACTCCCAGGAAAACACAGGCAAGGAAGGGGTCCCAGCCCCGCGGAAGTCCCCACCCCCACTTCAGAATCGCCCAGCAAGGCGGGGGGAGGGGGAGGGGGAGGGGAAGGGGGAGGAAGGAAGAGTGGGACAGAAGAAAGCGCTCTCGCAGGGTGCACGGCCCTGGCAAGGGGCGGGTTTCGGGATTGAATGGAGAGGCGGGGGGCCGGCCCCGCTAGAAAGGGTACTCGCAGACGTAGTAGAGGCGCCGCTCGCAATCGTGGTCCCACCAGGAGCCGTCGTCCGAGGCCTGTGCCACGCAGTTCTCGAGCGCGCCGCCGTTAGGCTGGTTGGGGCTGAGCGGGTGCGGCGTGGCGCTGGACTCGGGGCTGGGCGCGCGGTGCCAGGCGAAGAAGGACACGCGCTGGCCGTTCTCGAAGAGGTAGAGGCCCTCGGCGCGCCGGTCGTGCACGCCCAGCCACACCGGCCAGTTGTAGGGCGCCAGCGCCGCGCGCAGGTAGCGAGTGAGCGCCTCCATCTGCTGGCGGTCAGCTGGCTGTGCGAGGCTCCCGCCCCGCGCCACGCACCGCGCCTGCGCCGCCGCCTGAGCCTCGAAGTCGCGCGAGAGCAGGAAGCACTTGTGGCCAAGGCGCAGCCCCTTCAGGCAGCCTGCGGGAGGGGAGGGGTCAGATCCTTGGAGGGCGGGGAGGAGGCGGGGTCAGAACCATCAAGGGGGCGGAGTCAGGAACGCCGTGGGCGGTGCCAGACTGTAGGGACCGGGCTGTGGGGGGCGTGGCGCGTGTAGAGTGGGATCTGCTCTACCGCGTGGTGTGGAGTGTGCCTCCCGCACCGCCCGCCTGCTCCCGGCACTCACCCTCCCCGCTACTCTAACCTCCCATCAGCCAGCACAACACAAGTCTCCAGGAACCCCCTCGCCCGTGATGCCCAGGGTCCCCAGACTTCTCCGGGCCCCCTCCTCCCACCAGCCCCCCGCCAGCCCCGGATCGGCCCGCTTTCCCCGCCCTTCACGGTGCGGACTCACCCTCTAAGCGGCCATGCTCGCGCTCCGCGCGGCTCTGCGCCTCCTGTAGGGCTTGCACGCTGTCTCGGGTGTCGCCCACCGCCTCCCGCAGCTGCCGCAGCCCCTTGGTCAGCTCGACCACACGGGTGTCCAGCACGTGCAGACGGACGTGCAGCTGGTGCAGGCCTGCGTCTAGGCCCGCCAGGCGGCCCACTGCAGACGGACAGGGCGCACGTTGGGCGGGGACCCTGGGGGCGGAATCGGGGGACCGGAGGACCTGGGGGGACAGGGACCTAGGGCCTCAGGAGGCGGAGTTTGTGAGGGTAGGGTGGAGTGACTCGAGAGTCCTGGAAGATCGATGGCCGGGGCTTTGGGGAGGCAAGGCCAGGACCTGGAGCTCATGGGGGTATGGGCGCCACGGGCTGGGCCTGAGCGATTGAAAGGTTCCCCGGCAGTGAAAGGACGTTCATTTGGGTGAAAATGACGGTGGAGGCCTGGGGGGCAGGACGGAGCTAATGATAACTCACGGATGTAAGTGACGGTGTCCTCCGGGGTGGGAGAGGGGCTGGGGCTGGGGCTGGGGCTGGGGCTGGAGGAGGGGATTGGCATTGCTTCCTCTTCTTCCTCTCCCTGATGGCCCTCCTCAGTCTCCCAGGCCCCTTTGTCTTCAGGGGTTCCCTCAGGATTTTCGTCCCCCCTCGCAGTGGGCAGCCCCAGGGCCTCCTGTAAATGCTGAGGCAGGGGAAGGATGGTCAGGGACAGCCTGTCGCCCCATTCTGATTCCCCAGATGTTCCAACCAACCCCTCTCCAGCTATAAGCTGTCTCACTGCTCTCGAGTCCCTTCTGTGAACCCATCACCCCCATCCTCTGAGCCTGTCCCATCCCTCCCCCTTGCCTATTTCCCTGATCCTGGAGTAGCCCCTCCCAAGCGCATAGTGGTCAGGTCCTCCCCCTCCGCCTCTCCCCAACTCACCTTCAGCATCAGGGCTTCCCTCTCCCGTTCCTCCTCCTGGGCGCCTCCCCAGTCCCCCTCCCACTCCCTCTCAGGTCCCCGAGCCCCTTGGCTGAAGCCCAGGAGCTGGGGGACCACCAGGGCCCCAAGGAGCCAGGCTGCCTGCATCAGGGTGGGCTCAGTGCAGCACCCAAGGCTGTCGACAAATGTCTCTGGGGAGGGGGTGACTCTGGGGACTGGAGTGTGTGCAGATCACTAGCCCCCTGGTCCCCACCTCTCCCAGCTCCTCCCTGGTCCCTCTCCTCTCAACTCCTGTCTCTGTTCCTTGATGTGAGTCTCTCCCCGCCTCTCTTGGCTCCCTTGAGGCCCTGCCTCTGTGGCCGGAAACCTCCAACGTTCCAAAGCCTGAATCCCGCCCTGGGTCTCCCCTCACACCCCCCTCTTCCCATTTTCCAGAGCTCAGTTCCGCCCTGTTGTTTCCTTCTGCCAGGGCCAAAAGCTCAGATGGTCAGCAAGAGCATGGAGCTAGCTCTCCAAGGGATCCTGAAGAAAGTCTCTACCGAAGAACCCCCTGGAGGGAGGGTTGTTGGGACTTGACCCTGCTCCCCTCGGTCCCCTGGCCACTCCTCAGCAGGGGAGAGACTGCAGGGTCTCTCCAAGGTTGTTATTACCCTGCGGCCACTGTTGCCCACACACCCTGCTGGAAGAGCTTTCCCACCGTTCTCAGCCTCCAGGGCGCCTTCTGCCCTCAGCTCCTTTATCCCCGCCCTCCAAGCTCTCGCCCCAAGGGGCAAGTGAGTGTGTGGGACACATATGAAGAGCATGTGTGTGGCTGTGTGTGCAGCCCTAGGAGGCCGACCTCTGGGATTCATTTGCCATACTTTTCTGAAAGCCTGCGGGCTGAACCCCTCCTGGGGTGACTGGGGACTCCAGACCAGCAGACAGACAGCCCTACTGGGTGAGGGGCTAGGGAAAAGGGGTGGAAGGAGAATGGGTGGGTGGGGGTCAGGGAAGCTTTCTCCAGGAGGTGGAGTAAGCAGATGCTGGGCTGGGTGCACACAGAGCTCTGAGCAGTCAGCGAGGTTCATCTCCAGCCTGGACCACTGCAGTCGCCTCCTCCTGTTCTCCCCCTCCTTCCTCTCTAGCCCCTCCAATCCACGCTTCTGCCGCAGCCAGAGCAATGCTTCCAAACTGTAAATCAGATCGCGTCACTCCCCACTCCCCTGCTTCCCCAGCTTCCCATCACAGGCAGAAGAGAAGCCAAACCGTGTCCTTTGCAAGGGTCTGGCCTGCCCTGCAGGGGGCTGGGAAGGGTGGGCCCTTCACAATTCTGCAAGCTCATCACCCCCACTCTTCTGCCCCCTAGGAGCCAGCCACACTGGAGTGTGGGTAGCCTCTTAGCTATTTCCTGAATGTTAAGCTCCTTCCCACCTCGTAGCTTTAGCACTCATCTTTTCATCCTTCTAGAATAAGGCTCTGTGGCCCAGCCCCTTCTCATTCCTGCAATCTCAGCTCTGAGAGGCCTTTTCTGACTTTTATCTAGAGAAGCTTCACTTCTGAAAGTTACTTCATTAAAACACCCCGTTTTATCTTTTTGATATCTTCAAGCCTGGTATTGTCTAATTTGTTTGTTTGCTTGTTTGCGGTCTGTCTCCTGCCAATGACAGCAGGGATTCTTGTTTATTGCTGTATCCCCAGAGTTAGAACAGGGCTAACCGAGCACATAATAGGTGCTCAGTCAGTCTACTGAATGAGAAAGGAAGTGGCCATGAGTGGCGGAGTAATAGCTTAGCCAGAAGACTCAAGGCTTGACTGTCGGGGCCAGGAAAGGATTGGGGCAGCCAGGGTGGATGGAGGTGGTGAGGGCAATGGAAGGGAGGCTGCACAAGCAGGAGAAGCAAGAGGCCATGCCATGCCCACTCTATGCCAGACTCGTGACTCATGCAGGGCTTTCCTAGATTCGACCTGCCTGGCTGTGCCAGCAAGCATGGAGCTCACCAGCCAGGGATGGCAGGTCCACTCTTCTAGGGAGGAAACCAAGGCTAGAGAGGGGACAGCACAACCTGCCGGAGGTCACCAGCATGGAGGCAGCTAGCCAAGGCTTCTGGCTCTAAGCTAGAGCAGGGCACCTGCCCTCAGCTGCTGGGAGCCCCAGGAGGGGCCTTTGAAATCAATGCATCCAGGCTCTGTCTTCCAAGAAAGCAGAAGGCAATGTGACCTCGGGCAGGCTGCTCATCACATCAGAGCCTGGACCTCTTGGGTGCCCATTGGGTTCTGAGGACCCCTCCTCGACAGCTAGAGGCCTCCGGATATCATGCACAGGCTAGGAAAGGCCCTGTACACTGTAGAAGGGTGCACAGCCTCTCACTGCTGGCACCAACATGGGCAGCTGTTCTCTCTCAGGGCCCAGCTGCTCACCACCTGGGCTGATGGGTGTGCATCCAGAGGGGACCTCCCAGAGCTGGGCTGGCACCTGCTCCAGCTAAAGCAGAGGTACCCTGGAGCCTGCAGCTGGAGATGCCTGCAGAGGCCACCTGGAACTGCCCTGTATAGGCACCTGTGCTCTGACTGGTGGCCCTGAAGGTGCTGTTGGAGCTGGGAGAAGGGTAGAAGTCTGGGCTGTGGAGACGCTTTCACTGAAACCCTGTGGGATCTTCCCTGGCCCCGTGGGTGCATCTGGGGCACCAGCAAGCTGAGTTATGAAGGAGGGTATACAACCACGGTGTCCCCCATAGTGAACAACTGCAGTGTGAAGACTTTGAGCCAGCCTATCTGTCCCTGATCCCTGGCCTCGCCTGGGTGACCTTGAGCAAGTTGCTTAGCTTCTCTGAACCTCTGGGAAACAGGGATGGTGAATGTTCCTACCCAGCCCATAGATTGGTGGCAGAAGTTGAGTAAATCCAGAATAGAAGGGAGCCTGGCACACAGGAAGTGCTCAAGAAATGTCAGCAACAATTATGGAGGGAGCTCTGGCCCCGTGTTGCGCATCTAAGTGGGCGTGTGCACACCTGTGTGATGGATGGCGAGGTGGGTGAGCGTGATGGGGACGCATGCACACATCTCCCTACAGTGTGCATCTGTTTGGGGGTTTCGTGTGAACTGGAGATCTGAGCGTGCACATTGGGGTGCGTGCTGTGTGTGGGGTGTGTTAATGTGCGTGCAGTGCTGCCCACATGCTCTGGCGCACAGGTGTGACATGTCCGTGTAGCTGAGTGTTTGTGGAAATGTACACTCAGGTAGGTCGTTGTGCATGCCCTGGAGAGTATGTACACGTGGGATGGCTGCACCTGCGAGGCCAGCTAGTGTCTCTGTGCACCTGTGCCTTGAGGGAGGGTGTGTGTGTGTGGTTGGGGGACAGCACAGGAATCTATAGCTGGTAACATCCAATTTGGGGGTGTAGAGTTCAGCAATAAATATTTTTTGCGCCCTACTGTGTGTAGAGAGGGTGGGAAGCACTCTGGGAAGGGGTGGTCCTGGGGTGTGAGTGTGGAGGGGGTATTCTTAGGGGGCGGAGCCCCATGGTCGGGGTTTGGGGGCAAGCAGGGGTGGAGTCCGGGTTCGGGATCTGGGGGCGAGGAGGAGTGGTGGGGGAGGGGTGGGGGAGGGGGCGGAGCCGGCAGTGGCGGGGATGGGCGAGGTTTGGGGGCGCGGGGAGGGGCGATGTCTTCTCACCGGCTCCCGGAGGGAGGGGAGAGGGCGGAGGGAGGGGAGGGAGGGAAAGAGGGAGGGAGACAGAGAGAGAGAGAGAGAGACAGGGTGAGGGAGAGACAGCGAGAGCGAGAGAGCGAGAAGGGAGACAGAGGAGGCGCGGAGCGGGCGGCGGCGGCGGCGGCGGCGGCGGCCTGAGGAAGAAGAGGAGGAAGAGCCGGCGGAGCCGCGGCGCCCGGAGCGGGCCGGACCCAGCCGGGGGCGGGCTAGCCTGGAGGGGCGCGGCGGCCGCGGCTAAAAGGGGACGCTCTGCGGATGGCCAGGCCTGGTCCGCGGGGGGGGTGAGGTCCTCGGCCCCCCCGCCCTCCCCCCCGGCCCCCGCCCGCCCCCTTCCCGGCCCGCTCGCCCTCCGGGGCGGTGGGGCATGGCCTGAGGGTCCCCCGTCTCCGGGGGGGTGGGGGGTGGGGGGAGGGGGGAGGGGCTGCGGGCGCCGCCGACCGGGACTCAGCAGCCCCGCCAGGCAGGTAAGGGGACCGGGAAGCCGGGGGTCTGGGGGCGCCGCGGGGTTGGAGATGCGGGAGGGGGCGGGGGTGCCCGGACGTCCTTGGCCGCGAGTCGGGCTCCTGGCCCAGGCGTGCGGTGGGGGGTGGGGGCCAGGAGGGGAGCGTTGCCCCGGGCGACGCCAAATTGGGTTACGCCCGGGTCCCCGGTGCCCCGTCCCAGATCGCAGACTTGATGGGAGGATGCGCCCCCCATCCCCGCTAGAACCCCCGGCCCGAACCTTCCTCCCGGCGCTCCACAGCCGGGAGCTCGGTCTCTGTACCCGCCTCTGAGCCCTGCCCGGCCACTCCCCCGCCTCGCCCACCCTGGCCCACCCAGGTCCCTAGACCCTTCCTGCTGCCACACCGCGCGAGGCCCCTCCCCAGAACGCCCCGGTGCCCACCCGCCTTTAGCGGGGGTCTGGGCCTTGGCCTCCTCCGCCCCCTTCGACCCCCTTCTAGTTCCTGCTTCTCCTTTCAGGCTCCTCCAATCCGCTCCCAACACCTTTACCAGCTCCCCCCAATCCCCACCCCGTCGCCTCTCCCTGTTCCTCCGGCCGGCGCGCCCCCTCGGCTCCCGCCCCCGAGTCCCGCTGCCGGGTGCCCCCGCCCCCTCTCCCGGCCCGGGGCTCTCCCCCGCCGGCTCTGGGCCCTGGCCCTGCTCCCTCTCCCGCCTCTCTCCGCCTCCTTTCATTCTCCCGGGTACCGCTGTCAGCCACGCCAGCCGCCCCCCGACCCTTGCAGCCTCCCAGGGCGCCCCCTCTCTCCCTCCCCCCCTCGCCGATTCCTCAGCCAGTCTCAGTGCCAGCTGCGTGCCAGCTATTCTTAGCCGCGGAGCGTTTGATTCATGCCGCCCCGGCGGAGTGTGCCCGCTCCCTCCTTCGGGGCCGGAGGGGGAGGGGCCGGGCTGGTCCTGGGGGTTGGGGGCAGCCGCGCGCGCCGGGGGCCCGCGCCGGCTTTGCTTTCTTCCCAGCGGCAACC